AACCAAAAACTCAAGGAGAAACAGCACTGGCTTGAATCCCCAGAACCAGGGAAAAGTGAAGGTGGAACCAAGACGTTCAGGCTGAGGGAGCTGCAGGGGGGCTTCCTCCTGGGCAGCACTGAGCCGCTGGAAGTCAAGCTGGAGGGAAGAGGAGGGCCCACTGTGTCCTGAGCACCAGAGGCCAGGAGGAGGCTCAGGTGTCCCTCAGGGGAGGGACCCAGCTGCCCAGGGGACCTAATAAGGAGAAGCAAGGTCACAGAGAGCAGGTGGGTGGTTTCCTGCAGAAGCCGGGTTGGTGACACCAGAAAGCCGTGGGGGGTGGTGGCAGTCAGGGCCACCCAGCCCCTTGGTGCTCAGGTGAGGGCATCGTGGGTCAGGTTTGGGGCTCTGGGGTGTCGTTTTGCTGGGACCAGCCCAGAGGGAAGGGGTTTGCACTTTCTGACCCAGGTCTGGTGCTGGGTTCTTTAAGCCGTCTCGAGGCTGCTCTGGAAGCCTGGGACCAGGCTCACTGGACAGTGGAGGTGAAAGGGACATACTAGTGAGGGAGGGGACAGCCCAGGAAGGCAGCTAGGGCTGCAGCAGCCACCTGGCCAAGAGTGAGGGAAAAGTGGTGAGGAAGACTTTGGATGTTAGTTTTCTTTCTTTTTTTCTTCCAATTTTTATGGTGCAGATTTCACTGTGAATTAAGAGAAGTGGTTTTTGAGGGGCAGACGGTGTGGCTGGAGGGGTGCCCACTGTCCACAGGTGCGGTTTTCTTCTTACCGGGTTCAGTGCGGGCGATCCAGGAGCTCCCAGGGATATGGGGCTGGAGTGAGGGGCTGGGGACAGGCCTGGTGAGGGCTTTCCCTGGGTGGGCAGGAGGTGGCTGAGGGTGACCCAGGGCTGGTTCCCCCAGAGCTGCCAGCTCAGCAGGTCTCAGGTGGGACCCAAGAGAGTGGTCTCTGCAGGCTCCCAGGGGCCGCTGGGCTGTGGGCTGCACGCCGAGAGCCACTGATCTGGTGATCGCGCCATTCCTTGGACGGAAGCTGGCTCCCACCCCAGGCCAGGGCAGCTCCTGGGCGTAGCGGTGGCTGCCCAGGGCCTCGTGAGCCAGGGCTGGATGGTCTGCACGAGCCGATGGCCACAGCCCTGGGTGACCGCAAGGCTGGCCCGTCTTCCTGGTGTCTCCACAGGACGAGGTGGAGACTCAGGTGCTGGGGGAGGGCTGAGCCCCGACATCCTCACTGCGTTAGCTGCGGGCCCCGTGACCAGCACCCCCTCTTCCTGGGACCTTTCTGCTCATTAGTGAGAGAACCCCCGACCTTGGCCCGTAGCAAGGCCACCTGTAGAGGCCCCGCAATAAAATGAGTCACCCTCTCCCTGCCCCGTCCTGGTGTCCATTCTCAACCATTCAGCGTGGGCGGAGGCCGGGTGGAGGACGAGTCCCCGAGTCCCCAGCCAGTCGGGGGCACCAGGGTGAGGAGGCAAGGCTCCTGCCATCTGGGCGCGCTCAGTCCACGGAGGGCGACGCCTGGGAACCTGTGCTCAGGCCAAGCCCTCCTGGACACGGCCCAGGCCAGGGGAGGGTGGGGCGCCAGCGGAAGCCCCCTGGGGGAGGTGACAGTGGGGGTGGGGAGTCCACGCAGGGGGTGTGGGCGCCTTGGGGACCCTGGGGCGGGGTTTCTGAAGGAAGGACTCCACCTGTCCACGGCTTTTCCAGGCTGGGCTCCCGGGGCACCAGGGCTTCTGGAAGGAACCCTGAGTTACACTGTTCCCGAGGTCACGAGGTCACGTGCATGCTGTCCCCAGGGAGCCGAACAGCCGAGGTCAGGAGTGGGGTGAGGACGCCCTGGACCCGGGCTCACTTATGCCTGGTGGGGAGACGAGGGGTGTGGCAGTGGCAGGGAGGAGGCAGGGGACTTCCCTGGAGGCCACCAGAGGCCCGACAGCTGTTGATCAGAGCAAACCGTTTGGGGCCTCACTGTCCCCGGATGAAGAGGGAAAACAACATGGACCCCCGTCCCCCCCAGCAGAGCGCCTCTAGGCCACCTCCCCGCCAGGTCCCGGCACCTTGCTCCCGCCTGGCCCCTGCCCTGCGGGGCATCGCCCACAGCCACCCGAAGCCTCAGGACGGTGGACCCGTCTCCATCCCAGTTTCCCAACTTCCGGACGCGCAGGGCTCACGACAACAGGCCTGCTCCGTGCGAGAAGCCGAACACGCTCAGATTTATTGCTCTGAGAGCTTGGGCCGTCTCCTGGGCCCGCTTGATGCAGTTTCCGAGCGTTTTGTTTAAAAAGGAGATTTTCTGACCGCAGTGTTTGCCTCGCGTTTACAGCGAGGTTTTACAGTTTACCAAGAAGTTCACGACGGCGAGGCTCCCAGGGATGGAGTTCCCACACGGGGCGGGGACTCAATTAACTTTGGAAACAGACGGAAAGGCAGAGCTCAGAGGGGTTAAGGAGCTTGCCCACGGCCACACAGCCCAGGGAGAGGTCAGAGCAGAGTTGAATGCTGCTCCACCGGGTTCCAGCCCAGGGGGCCCTCTTTCCTCTCGGCCTCCCAGCTGACCTGACATCTGAAGGTAAACCACGGGTGAGAGAGCCCAAACCAAACAGCGACCAGGGCTTGTGCAGGAGACAGAGACTCGGAACGAGTGTAAAAATACCCAGGTATGTTTCAGGGGACCCTTGAGTCTCCAAACAGTATGTTTTATGGTAAGATTATTTTGTAACAATGCAGGTGGCGGAGGGTCCGGTGGGGCATGAGCTGGGCACTGACTTCCTAAATTCCAATTCTAAGCCAGTACCACATATGGCTATTTAGATTTAATTAAAATGAAATAAAATTTAAAAATCGAGCTCCGCAGGCGCACTGACCACATTTGAAATGCTCAGGACCCGCCCACGCAGATGGCGGGGTGTGCAGAGAGCTCCACCGGGTGCATCGTTCCCAGCCACCAGCTGCCTGATCCTGTCTCGTCCTGACTGTCCTGGGGAAGGGTCACCTGGACACAGGTGACAGGCACAGCTGTTTGAGGTCGGAGCCTTTGCAGCTGAGGTACCTGTAGATGCCACCCCAACGCCTGAGCCCCTTGACTCCCCTCTGGAGCAGTTTCAGCTCCAGGGACACAAATAAAAGGTAGATGGCAAATGAGTGGCTACTACCTGAGGCCTCGCTGCTCCATGCGGCCCCAGGACCCTGGCATCTCCTGGGAGCCTGTTAGAGAAGCAGCACTGTCTCTGCGCCAGGCCTCCTGAACGGGAAGCTGCCCTTTAACAAGGTCCCAGGCGATTCACGGGCACATTCAAGTTCGAGAAGCTCCGACTGAAGAGACAGGCTGAGCGGGAGCGAAATCCTGCTCCGAATACAGGAAACCAAACAGATACTTTCAGATTCGAGAAACAGCCTTAGCCCCCGCTGACCCCCGACAGCAGGTGAGTCAGCATTCATCACAGATGGTGGACAGCTCGGTGACACGGGCAACTACAGACTTCCAAGGACAGACCCCGGGGGGCGGGGGGAAGCTGGGAGACCTGCCCACTCTCCACCTCCAGCCCTCTCTCGAGTCACAGTGGGTCACCTCCCTGGAGCAAAGAAGCGAGCTGAGAATCACATCCTGATCTCAGGGAGGCTGCCTTTATTTAATTATTTAGGTGCTGGGGATTGAACCCAGGGGCCCTGAGCCACATCCCCGGCCCTTGGGTCTTATTTTGAGACAAGATCTCATGAAGCTGCTGAGGCTGGCCTCAAACTTGCAATCCTCCTGCCTCAGCCTCCCCAGTCCTGGGATTATAGGTGCGCGCCACCACACCCGGCAGAATGCTGCCTTTTAAATCAGATTTTCCAAGTTTGCTTTTCTTCCCAATATATTTGGCTGGACGGTCAAAGGCATGATCATTTAAACACAGGCATCTGGAACAGGGCTGTGCATCCCCCACCCCACCCGAGGTGTGACGCTCTGCAGGGCTCAGGGTCTGGGAAGGAACCAGCCTCAAGCCCACGGATGAAGAAAACAGGTGCTAAAGGAAGTTCCAGCTTCAGCAAGGGCCAAGGAGAGGCTTAGAACTGGCCGCCTGCTGGCCCCGCAGGGGGTGTTGCTGCTGGGGAAGTCTGGTTCAGGCTGGGCTGGAGGAGCCCCCAGTTCCAGGGAGGCTGACTCACCCCCACGCCCCCCCTTCCCATTCCACCCTGGTCTTCCTTATTTTCATCCCTGGAACCGAGATAAACTGCCAAAAGGCGATTTCTCCCCCAGCAAGAGCCCTCCTGGAGGATGGAGTTTAAAATATTCATTGTTACAAGTTGCTCTCAGCAATAAAACAGAGAACAGGATTCTGGGGAGTGTGGAGGGGACAGTGACATGGGCCCAGCAGGGAGCCTGGGGCTGGGGCCCTGCAAAGCGGCTTGGAGAGGAGAGACACTGTGGGAGAGGACACTCTGGAAACAATCGGACAAGGGTAGCCAGAGCAAAGGTCAGCGGCGCGTTCTTCAAAGCTCCCTTTACCCTGGAAAATCAAAGCAGCCTGCATGAGGCCCCTGCTCCCGCCTCTCCGGCCCGCGGGGCCCTTATTTTGGTAACAAATCTGATTTCCCTCCAGGGAACAGTCCGTTGCCCATTGCACGGGATCTCGGTGGATCTGTTAATCAAGATGCTGGCCCTACCCTTGGCTCGGGGCAGGATCATGACCCAGGTGGGGCCGACTGGACAGGAGACACAGGAGGACCTGGAGACTTTGGATTCATCCATCCTGATGGTGTCTGGGGAGGCCGCTCCCTCATTCTTTCAGGATTCCTGGCAACTAAAACCTTTCTGGTCTTTCTTGAGGTCTGGCTCTTCTCTTTCCTGAGATTCCAAGAGTCACCCCACAGCATTTCAATACATATATATTTTTTTTAAGTTAGAGAGAATTGGTTTCTATTATTTGTAACTAAGACCCCAAACTAACACAAACCCAAAAGCTCAGCAACAGGGCTTAGACCAACGAAGTATGATACAGCACACAAGGGAATACTACGCAACCAGGCAGAGTGATGACATAAATGTATATTTGTTGACACGGAAAGAGGTTCACATTGTATAGTTAAGTGCAAAAGCAGATTATAAGAAAACAGTATGCATAGGATGATACCATGTTTGCAAAATATATATTCTATATATTCGTAGAAAAAGATCTAGAGGAAAATATAACAGTATTCATTCTGGAGAGTAGGATGGCGAGTGATTTTTGCTTCCTGCTTCTCTTTATATCCTGACCTTTCTACAGTGTTTGTGCAGTGGGTTTCCTTGTTTTGCTTTTTAGTACCTGCAGTGGGCCTAGCGAGACTGCAGCGACTTATTTCCCCGAGGCCCCCGGGGTTCCTGCTGTGGGGACTGTGCCCCCACAGCTCTGCTCAAGAGGATTCTGGGGGCTGAGTCCCCAGAACAAAGGAAAAGAGCAGAGCCACAGGGAGGGGCTCAGCATCATGCTGTGGCTCGAGCCGTGGGACAGGTTGTGAGCGAGACTCGCTTCAGTGTGGGGACGAGCTCCTTGCCCTGCCCATGGTCTCAGGGCCTCCTGGGGGCAGTGGTGGGTACCGGGAGGGTGGGAAGGGGGTCTGGGCTTGCGGGGTGCTGCATACTCTTATGGCTGCACCTACTCATCTTGAGGTCTTGTTTGAAAGTCATCTGTCCTAGGGGACCCCTAGGCCCCTAAGAGTGGTCCTGGCCACGGCTGGCTCAGCCCACCCCGTCTCCTGTGCCTACACCTGCAGGCCCCTCACCCAGCTCAAGGTTGCCTTTATGATCCGCCTCCTTGACTTCAGGCTTATGACTGTCTTGCACTTGGCCGTGTCCCTGTCCTCGAGGCCAGCACTGCAGACACTCACCAAGCATCTGCCGAATGACAGTCCATGAACAGAGGCCCAGGGTGGCCAGGAAACTACCTCTGTGTGACTGTGTGACCTCAGGCAAGTTGCTGCTCCTCTCTGGGCTTCCTCCAACCCTCAATCTGAGTCTAAATCCCCAACTTTAACTAAAGGATCAGCCTCACGCTTCCTGAATGTATTCAGACCCATTTAAGGGAAAGTAATACAAGTCGAAATCGTTCACTAAATTAGACCTTAGATCCACTGCTGGTTGGTTCTTCTTTCTGATGAGGACGTGGTGGCACTTTCCCCAGCATCACTGGTGTGCAATGAGCCCAATCTTATTTCTTATTCAATAAACTCCTTTATTCTAGTTCACAGGTTTCCATGACAATAATGGAAGTAGCACTAATGATCTGTAACACTTAGGCCCAAATCAAAGGGAGCCCCTCCTCAAAACCCTAAGGTGAATGACCCGTGGTTGACCAGGTGAGCGCTGGGCAGCAGGTGGTGGAATGAGAGGAGGGTCAGGACCGCGTGGGGCTGCCCACCACGTCCCTGATCGGGAGGGCTCTGTGGAGCAAGCACGGGATTTTTGAAAACGATATTCATCATCGTAAGAGGCTCGAGTGTCAAGGAAAAGCAAATTAAGCAAAAACAAAACAAACAAACAAGAAAACCCCAAACTCTAGGAAGCGAATGGACACTCGGGGTCAGAGTGCCGACGGCGATGGCCCCGATGGCGAGGGGGTGGGTTTCGTAGAAATTCTCCATAGAAAGGAATGTCTGGCCTCGGTCACACCGGTGTGACCGCGGCCCTCGTGACATCGCTGAGACTCCAGGTCCTGTGTCCTCACAGAGGAAAAATAGTGGCCAGTCGTCTGTCCAGGGTCTGCCTGGGGCTGGGCCTGCGTTCCCGTCCCTGGGGGAGCAGTCCCGGGTCCCCTGGGTCCCCGAGAGGCCAGGCATTGTTGAGCGCCCAGAGCGGCGGGGACGGTCAATATGGGCGCCGGGTGCTGCCAGAGCTGTCCGAGTGGTTCACGGGCAGTGGGTGGGCCTCCGTGTTGAACACCCAGTCTTCCAGGGAGAGCGTGTCGTCCTCAGAGAACAGGAGATAGAGGTATCTGCACCCAGGGCAGGGAGCGAGAAGAGCGGTCAGGCTGGGGACGGGCTTGGGGCCGAGGGCAGGAAGGTCCAGGTCTAGGACCGCTCACAGGAAGGACACTGGACGCCGAGGAAAGCCCCCAGTTTGGGATCCAAGGGACCTGGTTTAAACCTGGCTTGGTCCCCAGTCAGCTTGGCCTGCCTGGCCCTGTGTGCCAGCCCCGTGAGGACCCTTGGGCTGGCACACAGCTTGCCCGGGGCGGGAGTGTGCTGCTGTCTGGACCCTTCTTTTCTCTTTTTGGCGGGAGGATTGGACTCAGGGTTGCTTTACCACTGAGCCACACCCTTTTTGTTTAACTTAGGGTTTTGCTAAGTTGCTGAGGCTGGCCTCAAACTTGTGATCCTCCTGCCTCAGCCTCCTGAGTTGCTGGGGTGACAGGTGGGGGTGCCACTTGGCCCACCTGTACCTGTCCAAACTCTTGCCTGGGCCCCTCCACACTCAGGGCACACCAGGGCACCACAGGGGACACAGCCGGGACTCTAGGACTCTAGCTGCAGGGCAGGGGTTGCGACTGGCAGGAGCTGACCAGGGCGGTTTAAGGCTCAGGGTCTGCTGTGGCCGACTCCCAGCCAAGGAGCAAGGGCGGGGGGAGGGGCTCTGGCAGGGAGGCTGCAGGCCTGGAGGGAAGGCGCGTGAGCACTGTCCCATCTGGGGACATGGAGCACGTCACCACGGTCCTGTTTGACACGGAGGACGGAGTCTCAGAGAACTTGGGACAGGGAGCGGTGGAGAGCTGAAGTGGCCTCGAGTGTCCAGGGTGGATTCTGGGGCTGGACTTGGGCTCGGTCTCACTGAGGGGAGGGACTGCCGGGCCCAAGCGCCCCCTGGCCTGGCTCTGGGGCCGTCCCCCCGCCCCGTGGACCCCCGGTGACACGGAGCCTGGCTGCCCGCCCGGGTGCCCACTCACTTGAGCGTCTCGGCCAGGAAGAAGCTCTGCTGCTTGTTGTCGTGACGGGGGGCCGTGCTGTAGACGTCGTGGATCCCCGAGAAGCCCGTCTGGGTCCGGCAGTACCTCTCCAGCGCCTGCGGGGGTGTCGCTTAGCGGGAGGGGACGGGCCTCGGGACAGCCCGACCCCTGCCTTCGCGGGGGCGAAGGCGCAGTGGATGGTGCCGGCACGCCTGGGTCCGGGGAATGGACTCGGCACCCCCGGGGCGCCTCTGGGCCAGAGCTACGTGGCCGCAGCCTGAGGGTGGGCAGGGGCTGGCAGGGAGGACAGGGGGCGCAGCAGGCACCAGGGAACCTTCTGGAACCCCACCTGCCGGGGACACCTGCCACCTGGGGAAGGTCTGGTTTTCCAGCCAGGTGGCCAGGGTGAGGGGGCTGGGCCAACATCGGGCTCGGGGAGTGGCCGGGCCACCTGGGCCGGGCAGGCGGTGGCAAGAGGACGAGGTGAGCGGCTGGCGGGGCCAGAGGGGGCTCCCCCACACCCGCCCGGCCAGGGGGTGCTCTGGGGCCCGCACGCTCCCGGCCCAGGTCTGCTGGGGACCACAGCGCGGACCCCTAGTGGGGGTCAGCCTGCCTTGGCCCTCCTCCCGGGCCCTGGCTGGGGCTCGGACCGACTGTGGTGTCTCTGGGGCACGACCCGGGGCCACTCACCGTCACCACTTCCCAGCCCCACTCCCGGTAGATGGGGTCGTGCGTGAGCCGCCACAGGTACATGTAGCTCTCCACCACCTCGGGCCGCAGGATGTAGTAGCTCTCGCCCTCGTGCGTGGCCTCCGCCTCCTTGTTGGAGTTGAACCAGAAGGCCTCGGGCCCCAGCTTGGTGTCTGCGGGGGCAGCAGAGGACCCGCTGGGACCCCGCACCTCTGGCTCTCCAGGGGTGACCTCGCGGGGTGACCCAGCCGCGCCCTTTCCCCAGGCCTCGGGGGCCCCGGCAAGACCCCAGAGCTTCAGGAATTAGGTGGGACTCTGAAGGGGCCACGCTCTGTCCCAGATTGTGGGACCCCAGCTGTCCGTGGGCTGTGGCTAGACTCAGGCAGGACAGGGCTTCAGCTGGGGCACATTCGGGGCAGTGCTGTGGGTGGGCACAGGGCTTCTCGGGCGCTCCAACACCCTGACGTCAAAGACCCCCTTTCTTAGCAAACTGCCCTTGACACCTCCTAGATTGGGTCTGGGGGAGACGGAAGGAAGCCCCCAGGAAAGCACCCCGACCGACAGAGGGCAGTAGAGGAGGCCGCCTGTGGGGTCTGGGCTCGGCCGTGATGGTTGGTTTTCTTTTCCATGATTAATTTTAACGGCCAGCACGGCTCCCACCTGTGACTTCAAGGGCAGTGCTGGGTGCTTGACGTACACTACCTCAATCTGAAGAAAGCTATTTTTTGCTAAGATAGATGCTATAATACCCCCCTCAGGCATGTGGAAACTGAGGACCAGAGAGGCTAAGTAATTTGTCCAAGGCAACACAGCAAGTGGTGGCTCTGCTGGGGTGTGACCCGAGATCTGTCTGATGCCCTGTGCCCCGCAGGCTGTGCTCTCTCTCTCTCCCTCCTCCATCTAACTCTCTAGGTCCAAAATTTAGGGTGTGTGGCTCAGGTCTTCCTCCCTCCGCTGCCTGCACATCCCCCCAGCCACCTGGGTTGGGAACCCCCCGTGGGTCGCCTCCTCAGGAGCCAGGCTGGAGCTCGGGTGTGACGTCCCTCCCGGAGGGCTTCCTGGAAGAGCAGGCATTTAGGCCCCGGACCCCTCCCACCTGTCAGACGGTGACGCGGCTGGAGCCCCCAGGACGCACGCTGGTTGTGCCAAGTTGCTAACAGGGTGAGGGCAGCGGGCAGCCAGGCTGGCGGGAGCACTGGGCCCTGCCTCTATGATCAGGCTGACTGTCCCAGACAAAGGGGCAGCTCTCTATCACCCCAGGCCACCTGTGGGTGACAGCCCTGGCTGAGCTCCGCCAGGAGAATGGAGACCGGCTTTGGGCCTCTGCCAGCCTCCCCTGGAGCTCAGAGCCCCTGTGCCAGGGCAGAGGCCTGCTGCCCGGGGAGGCCTGCCACACCCTGGGAGACCCGTCCCCCTGTCCCCCCCAGACAGACAAGGGACTAGGGGCCACTCAGCTGGGGCGGCAGCCCCTGAGCTGGGGGTCTGCACTGCAGGTCTGGGGGCCTCTGCTCCCACCAGAGGTGGCTGGCGTCTCCTGGCGCCAGGGTGGGGGGGCGTGTGGCGAGGCAGCGCGGGGGGCGGGCTGGACATCAGAAGACCTGGCCCTACCCAGGCTCGGCTGCTGGTGTGCAGTGTGGCTTTGGCCAAGTCTCTTCCCCTCTCTGGGCTGACTCAGTTTCCCCATGTGCACAGCGAGGGTTGGGCTCCTGCTGCCTACGTGACGTCTGACCCTGCGTCTGGCCAGTCTGCGCTGAGGGCCAGGTGTGGGTGGGTGCTGACCAGAGCCCTTGAGCTTTCTGGTGATCTCGGCTAAGTGACGAAGGTACCAGGGGGTGGTGAGCCCGCAGGCAGGTGCCGGGGGGGGGGGGCAGGCTCCCAGGAGGGGACTCGGTGGGAACTTCCTGGGACAGGACACCTTGTTTCTGTCTCGGGGTTTGGAGGACTCTGCCCCCTGCCTCCTGGGAAGGTGGCTGAGTCTCCCCACCTTGTTGTGAGGTTCAGTGACCTTGTGGGTCGCGTGCCAGACAGCACCTGACGTTCAACTTCAGTGCCCGGACTGCTCAGCCCTCTCTCAAAAGCCACCTCACTTCCACTCCCTGCACTCACTGCTGCTCTTTCCAGTTCTTCCTGCTGTCTAGCCTCAGTCTCTGCTGCTGCCCCCTCCCCTTGCAGGATTACCTGAGCGGGCGTATGACTCGTGGCACGTCCTGGTGATCTGGGCTGCGAGCTCTTGGTAGTGGGCCCTCTTTTCTTCCTTGGCATCCTCAGCGCCGAGGGCGATCATGCCCCCCGAGAAACAGGCCAGGTGCCCCATCTTGTGGTCCAGAATCCCCCCTCGCCACTCGGCGATGTAGGTCAGCCCCCCGGGAGAGACATTCAGCAAGTACATCTCTATGGCCTGGGAGCAAGGGGGTTGGGCGGGGAGGGGCGTGGGTACAGAGAGGGGGAGAGGGCATAGTGAGCCAGGGGCGGCCGCGCTGCAGCCTCTCCATCCCAGCAAAGAGGCCCCCTGACCCCGGCGGGCCGTGGTCCCTGGCAGGGCCTGGCCCCCGGAGCCGAGCCTGGGGCCTGGGGGAGGCAGGCGGAGGCCAGGCGCCCGCTCGGCCTCAGGGAGTCCCCTGTGCGGCCCTTGCATCTCGTACATTTCAGACATCTTTAAAGGTGACCCTGTCCTTCACTCCCCTGTCAGCAGGTCTCAGCCAGGGACCCCGCAGGCTGTGGCCTGGCTCCCGGGAGCTCAGGGATTCCGCCATCTCCCGTCTCCGGGAAGAGGTTCCCTGTGCTTTATCCGATTCTCAGAAAGGACCCCAAAGGCCCTGGAGCTGCCCTCCCGGGGTCCCCTCCCGCAGGCTTCCTCCTTCCCTACCAAGGGTGAAGTGGCTTGTCCCAGGTCACCCGGCCGCACCAGGACCAGGACCCCAGGGCTCTGCTCCTTTGGTGGGAAGGGGCCCCCGAGGGGGTGCTGCTGTCGACAAGGGCCCCGGATTCTGGGGTGCAGATGGCAGGTGATCCCGCCCCCCACTCCTGCCCTCGGTCCCAGGAGCCTAGGAGACCGAGGTACCGCAGGTGGCAGCTCACACAGCCTCGACGCCAGACCTGATGGGCCCGGGTCCTGGTCACCACCGGGGACCCCTGGGGCCCTCGCCTCGGCCCCTACTCTTGCCTCCAATCCTCTCTGGGGACAGGGTCTGCACTTAACAGTGAGCTGTGTCACCCCGTGTCACTGGCCACACCTTCAGGGGCTCCCAGTGCCCACACCTGAGGGTCCAGCAGCATCTCCATGAGTGGACTCCGAGATCCAACCTGCTCTGGGCCCAGTTCCGGGGTGCGGACTCTGTGGGTGCGGGCTTCTCCAGCAGCTCCACGCTGGGTGGCCCCGGCAGGTTGGATGCTCTCTCTGTGGCTCGGTTTCCTCAGTATCCAGTCGGGGTAGGAGTGCCCACTCCCTCCCAGACTGGCGAGAACTCAGGAAGCCTGCAGAGCTGGGCTACTTCCCGCCACCGACTCCCCCAACAAACGTGGGCCACTGTGTCCTCTGCCACCTGCCTCCTGCCCTCCGTCCCCGCACCCCACCCCGGCCACACGGGCCTCTCTTCTTTCATGTCCTCCCCCCGTTCAAATAGTTCATGAGCCACTGAGTATTTCCTGGGGTTGCGCTGGGCCAGGTGTGGGAACAGTGGCACCGTGGATGGGCCTGGCCCGGGCTGGGACGCCCACCAGGGGCAGAGGCCTCCCCGGAAACCAAGTGCGCATGAGTTAAAATGGCATCAGCCTTTGGAATGAATCAAAAGGGAGGAGACTGGGGATGCGGGTGCCCTGCTTTGCAGAGGGCTGGGGGGTCTCTGGCTCTTGGCTGTTCCTTTTCTCACATGTTGAGCCGGCGCCCAGGGGTGCTGACCTCAACTAGGCCTTGGGGCTTCCTCCCAAATGCCACCTCCCTGGGGGGATGCCCGACTTAACCGGGCCCTGCACCCCCTACTCTCTCACCTGCTGGGACCTTGGCACCTGGTGCTGTCCCCACCTGCGGTTTCTGTGTCTGTCCCCCTAGGACTCTGAGCACCGTGTGATGCGGGGGCCACGGGCCGGGGCCCTCGGCCAGCGCCTGGCAGACGCAGATCTCAAGCCGCGTCTGCTCCTGGATGGGCCTTTGCTCCCCTCCGCTGTTGGGGCCTGCGGCCGGGCGCCTGGCTGTGGGCCCTTGCTGAGTGACAGATGGGGCAGGCTGCTGATGTGACATGCTGGGCACCTGCTCTGCATGGGGGTTGCTGAGGGGACCTGCAGAGCCACAGGGCTGCCAGCCGATCTGCTCTGGCCGGGCCCGGCTCCTGGGCAGAGCTGGGAAGCAGTGCCACCGTGCCAGGCTCCGTCTTGTGCAGGGAAAGGGAATCAGGGTGGCCCAGGGCCCCCAAGTCTGGCTGAGAGTCATCAGCTGTCAGCACAAACATGGGGGGGGGGAAGCAGGGCGCCTGGGCTGGAGCTGGAGTCTGACCTTCCGAACGCCTCCCCGAGGTCATTTCCGTCCGGGGCGGCCCGGGCTAAGTGACTGAGGTGAAGAGGAAATGACGGGTCAGGTCTCTTTGAAGATGCAGTTGAGATGAGCGACATGACGATAAAAAAGGACAAGGCCTCCTAAGGCCCCGAGAAAACACGGGCTGGCACAGGCTGCTGAGCTGCCGGGGAAGGTCTGATCCCTGCAAGGTGCAGCAGGGCTGAGCGGGCGTCAGGCGTGGGCCTGAGTCTCTGCTCTGTGATTTAAGACTCGGGTGGGGACCAGGAGCCGTGGTGCACACCTGTAATCCCGGCGGCTCGGGAGGCTGAGGCAGGAGGAGTTCGAGAAGAACCTCAGCACCTTAGTGAGGCCCTATCTCCAAACAAAAGAGGGCTGGGGATGTGGCTCAGTGGTTAGGCACCGCTGGGTTCAATCCCCGGTACCAAAAAAAAAGTTGGGTGACTTTGGATAAATTATCTCACTTTTCTGAAGACTCACTTTGCTCATCTCTAAAATGGGAACACTAGTCCCCGGGAGGGTCACGAGGGCTCGGTAGCTGCTGATCTCCACACTCCTTCCTGTGCCTGGTGTGGGAAGCCCAGGGAGCTCTCCAGGGGCCCCCTGGCCTGGCTCTCCTGCATTTTGGCAAGTGCAGGCTGCAGGACGGGGCTAAGACCCAGGACACAGAGCCCATGTCCACAGAGACTGAGGTGCAGCTCTCCCAGCCCTTGAGGCCTCCTCTGGAGACACTAAGGGGTCAACCCAGTTAGACCCATCTGTACCTTCAACGCCCGCCCCAGCTGGACACTGGTCTGACCTCCCGGCGGTCACCCTGACTGCACCCTGGAGTCCCCTAGGAGCTTTCAAATGCTGTCACTGGGCCCTACCCCCTAGAAGTTCTGAGACCACTGGTCAGGGGTTCAGCTGGACAAGGGATCCCACGGTTCCCCAGGTGACCTAACGTGCCACCGAGGTTGAACGGTCCTTCAAAGGCCCAAACTTGCCAGAGGCCAGCCCTGGAGGGGATGGGGTGCGGGAGCAGCCGGTTCTCTGCTGTTGAAGCAGGCGCTGTCTGAAGCTCCCACTCGCTTACATAATTCATGGCCTCAGCTCCCCTGAAGCCTCCACTACAGTGTGCCCCGAGGGCAGGGGATCGGCTGCTCCTGGACGGGCAGCTTACCCTGCAGGGAAGGCTGAAGTCCATCCTCCCGGAGCCACGGGCCTGGGTCTGGGCTCGACCAAATCCCAGGGCACAGAGGGCGGGACCTGAGTCCCAGTGACCGCTCCCAGTCAAGACTGACCGGCCTCAGTGCAGGACACTGGGCGGGAAAACATCCCGGGCTAGAGGTCCAAGGACTCGGCTTTGGAGGCCGTTTCAATGCGCTTCTCGAAGCACTGCTGACCCTGGCCAGATTCGTGCAAGCAAAGGGCGTCTGAGGACCGTCCATCCCTGTCTACTGACCTCTCACGTCAATCCACCCACAAATCCACCGACTCACGTCCCCACCACCCACCATCTGCCTCACACCCATCCACTCTCACCCACCCACGGTCCGTCTGTCCATCCACTCGCCCACCGTCCTTCCCACCACAGCTCCCCTCTCAGCGCCCATCCGCAGTTCTCGGGTGCCCCCTGCCCAGGCCCTGCTTCAGGACTGAGCCAGCTCGCCAAGGGGCTGACTCCCAGGGAACCCCCACGGGGTCTGGGGAGCTGGGCGGGACGTGCATCACAAGTGACACAAGCCCGGCTCGTGGGGCACAGAGGCTGGGAAGGCTCATTGGAAGCAGCGGCCAGTGGGTCCCAATTGGGACCGGCCACTGAACGCTGTCCTAGGAGAGGAGACCGCTGGACCCCCTGTGGGACTAGGGGTGGGGGCAGAGGGGAGGTGAAGCCACAGGGGCTGCAGGGCCTGATGGGGAGACCCCGGGGGCGAAGGAGGGGCCTGCCCACCCCAGGCTACGGGAGGTCGGGGCCTGCCTCTCCAGCCCTCCTGGTGGCTGTGCAGGGGACCCACTCAGCAGGGCAGCGGGGAAGAAGGAGCCCGGGTTAGAGGAGTGAGGTGGACGTTCAGACCACGCGGGGGACAGAACAGACCCAACGTGCTCAGCTAACTTGAGGCCCTGAGCCGGTCCAGGGTCTTTCCATCAACTGGGCTCAAAGGTATCTATCGATGGGCTGAGATTCCCCAGCCCCCTTCCCAACAGCTTGGGCTTACAGACTCACCCTGCCTCCCTTTGGAGGGACTCATCTCAGTCTGCCACCTCTCATCCACACCACCCTGTGGACAGACCAAGGGTGGTGCCAGCTCTGCCAGCTCTGTGCTGTGTGGCCCTGAGCAATTGCCTTTCCTTCCCTGGGCCCTGGTTTCCATCTACCTAAACAGCCACAGAACTGAAGGCTCCACACATCCAGGAGGCTGCTCCCAACTTGGACATGCTAACTCTGTCACCTCTGGTTGGTGGGAAGATAGTTGAGGGTCTCGTTTTGGCAGCTGCCTTGGGAGCTCCCAGCCCCAGTCTGGCCGCCCCTGGGCATTGGCACGTTCACTGAAGCACAGACATCATGGAGGAGGCGTGGGTTTTGGAACTGTGGTTTCTGAATCAGACTGATTGTCACTTCCTATGAGACCTTGGACAAAGACTTAACCTCCCGAGCTTGGGTTTCCAGGGGGTGGACAAGCTACTGCAGCCTGTTTCAGGGTGTTTGGGAGGAGTCTCGAGACTGTCAGGCGCCACTGGGGACACTGCTTGTCCTTTCTCTCCCAGACCCTGGGGAGGGCTGAGCAAGCCTCCCGAGCTGGCCCCCTGCTGCCCGAGCACTCAGGGGACTGCGACAGCCAGCGGCTGATGACCAACCACCCGTGAAGAGCCCGGTGCCGTCTTACCTCCAGGGCCTCGTAGTACATGACTTTGGCCTCCGTGTCGGTCTTGGCGGACATCAGCCAGGATTTGATCAGATATTCATAAAAACTGTCCCCGAGTCCTCCGATGGAGACGTGGTCTGAGGGGGAAGAGGACAAGAACGTCACCGTCACCTGCCGCTGGCTGTGGGGGTGTGACGAGGGGGGCACAGCTCTCAGTGGGCTTGGGTGGCGGGGGGCTGTGTGTAGGTGGAGGTAACCCCAAACGGGGCAGAGAAGACACAGGAAGGCTGGTGACACAGGAAGGCAGGGGTCTCGAGCGAGGTGTCGGGTGCCCGAGGGCTCCGGCTCTCCAGGGCTGAAGGTCCTTTTGCCGGCACTGGCTGAGGATGGCCGGTCCCCTGCCTATTAACTGTAAACGAGTCGCATTTCTTTAAAAGATGTTCCGGTGGCAGGAAGTTCAGGGTTTTTATTGCCCAGTGACAACTGTGGTGATTAACCGGAGCTGGTTCACAGAGGCCACAGAAGGAAGAGTCCAGCCTTCGTGTGGCCTCCAGCGCAGGGCCACTCCAGAAAGACGGAGCTCAACTCCAGCAAGTGGGGACACACTGAGCTCCCAGGAGCAGGGGGCAGAACCCGTGAAGACCTCTCCCTGCCCGAGGCCTGTGCCTGCTGGTCCCTGGACACAGAGGCCAGACTTGCCCTGGGGCGGGGCCTCGGGGCTGGTCGAGATCTGTCCACCCGGGAGGAAGATGGGCCCCTGAGGACCACCTGCCCACAGGAGCAAGACTGCGCTTGGCCCGTGCGCTCCCAAACCTAACAGCGGGAGGCAGAAAGGCCCCCAGTGGACTTGGCAAGGGACACACTTTAGAGATGGGAAGGGACATGAGGTGGTCTGAGGGGTGGGGACGGGCGCATGTCTACGACTCCTCTGGAGGAGGGGAGGGAGAGAGGGAGGGAGAGTGGGGGCCCAGTATGTCCACGGTGTCCTACCATCTCCTGGGTGTCCGCCTCCGGCCAGGAGCTGAACTGTGTTATTTATAGCTCAACCTTCCAAAGCCCTGCAGGCCCGAGCACTGTGGGCCCATTTCCCAGATGGGAACACCGCAGTGAGCCCAGGGAGCTGTCCAAGGCCACCTCACCAAGGCCTCACTTTCTGCCAAGGGGCGAAGAGAAAGATGCATAAAGAGGGGACAGGCGTGTAGAGGGACCCAAAGGCAGAGAGTCGCGATGGGTGGGACGGGAAAGGGGGTCGAGGGGAGGCCCGTCACACTGGAGCAGCCCCCAGGCCTTGCCCGCCCCTGTCCACAAGTAAATCCCGGCCCAGCAAAGGGTCTGGCTCTGAAGCAGCCCTGGCAAGAACCGGAACACGGAGAAACAGCACAGGATTGGGGCAGGTGGGGGGGGTCCTTGGGGCTTAGCTACAGCGGGGAGGGAAGACCCCCTGACGGTGCCCGCCCGTCATCCTGGTGGGGGGCACAGCCCGACAGGCAAGGGGTGCACGGGGGTGGGGTGGAGGGCAGGCCCAGCGAGCCCATGACGGGCAGGTCTGTGCCAAGGAGACGTGGGGAAGGCCGCACGCCACACCGGGTGGACCCCTGGGCCTCGGCTGGTGCTCTCCCTGGGCCTTGGTATCCTTTTCCACCGTGCCTGGCCGACACCCTCACCGGCTCGGTGCAGCTTGGGTGTCACTAGGTCCAGGTTCCCATCTGGGGTTTGCAGGAGAGGGGAGCCCGGTCACCAGGTCTCATGGTGTTGGAGACAGGACTCTCCGGGAGTATGAGAGTCACCTTGCAGGTGGACTTGGCCCGAGTGGACAGCTCTCACTAGGAGGTCCGTCACTGGTTCCTGACCTTGTCACACTCTCATCACACCTGGTGGCAGGAGGCAGGGCCACAGGCCCAGGACTCTGCAGCATGGAGCTGGGAAGCGGCCAGGCGGAGCTGACAGGCACTCAGGCTCCCAGGCCCGGGCCTCCCAGGGCCCTCCCTGAAGGAAGCATGGGGTTCAGCAGCCAGGATCACAGCTGAGGGGCTGCGGACCTCTCCTTACGGTTCTCCGGGCTCTAAGGAGTCTCGGCCTGGTCTTGGCTGGGCCTGGGGCTGCCGGGAGCCAGGGGTTCACCGGGGCTTAGCAGGAGGCTCTTGGGCCTCTCCGTTACCAGGGGCAGCGAGCAGCCTGGGGGCGGGGGTTGGCAGCTGGGCCGCTGCAGCCCTGGCCCCCCCCATTTCTGTGGTTGCAAATGGATGCACAGCTCTCAGCCTGCTGCCTGGGCTGACCCGAGGACTCGAAGGGAGAAATAGGCTGTGATCATCTGTGGGAAACACACACGCCCCAGAAGAATCCCACAAAACCCCCAGAGGCCCTGAGATGATCCCGGCGCCGAGGCTGGGGGAGGAGGAGGCTGGCGCCGGGTCAGCAGGACTTGTGACCTTCCCTCGGCTCTTCAGCCGTCGCCGGCTCATATTTTATTAATGTGAAGCAATTTCCCATATGGGAGCGACCTTGCCCAGCCCCGTGGCTCCTGGCACAGGCAGAAAATAAAATCATGCCCCTCTGGGGTGTGTGTGTGGGTCCCCTCTAATTTGCGGAGGGAAAGGGTTGGCAGGGAGGCCACGGCCTCACCTCTCCCCGCAGGATTTGCTGCCTGCCTGGGGAGCCCAGCTCTACCCTTGCAAGGAGAAGCGGTTCTCGGTTCTTTTTGTTTATTTATTTAGCAGAGCCTCCCACAGGCTACCCCGGAGCTGTGTCCCCGGCCCTTTTTATGTTTTGAGACAGGATCTGGCTGCCGAGCCAGGCTGGTCTGGCACTTGCCATCCTCCTGCCTCAGCCTCCCTAGGCCCAGCCAGGTTCGCAGTTCTTCATGGTCTCTTCGCGCACTCTGTAACTCAAGCCTTCCTCTCCTCTCCACACTTTGGGATTTGGCAGGGCATTTTGGGTGAGAATACTTGGCATTTCTGTATTTTGTGTGTGTGTGGGGGCGGGGAGGAGCCCACTTGGGGTGAAGCCATCACTGGGGGAAATTCTTGGGTTGAATTTTCTGGGCCTCCCAGACCTGCAGATGGTAGAGGCTCGTGTGGGAAGGAAAGGCCTCTGTGTCCCCCCCACCCCACTGAGTCCTTGTCCCTGTCCCCGCAGGCCCTGCCTGCATCACTGGCTTTGGGACAACCCGAGTCCCCTCTGGAGGGCTGAACGGAAGCGGCCTCCCGCCCCCCTCCCTTCCTGGCCCACAGAAGCCTTCTCCGGCTCCTCTTCCACGACTCCGCTCTGGAGCCCTGAGATGCGCTCTCCCAGGCCACACGCTGTTAGGCTCAGGTCTACTTTGCCCCTGAGCCCCTGCCACACAGCCAGGGTTGGAGGCAGGGGACAGGGAGAGGGTTCACTGTGGGGCAGACGGCGGAGGTGGGGCCTCTGGGCAGGTCTGGGGAAGGCCCCAGAGGCAGTGCCCACGGGACCTGCTACCATCCATTTGTGCTGACAGTGACCATGGGACAGGGCCTTGGTCAAGAGGGCACACTGGGGACGTGGCCTGCTCCTCCCAGAGCCAGGCTTCTCAAAGGGACAGATCACGCAGACCTAGGAGACTCGCCCCCACGCCCTCACCCTAGCATCCTCCCCAGCCCACTCAGTTTCAGTAGGTGGCCCTGAGCAGATGCCCGGCTGGGGACGTGGTAACCGTGCATTTCTCTCGTGGCCACATGCTGGGTCCTGGCCCTGGAGGTGGGCGGGGGGACGGCCCGACGTCTCGACATCTCTGTACTCACGTTGCTCCCAGTTCCCGGTCACTGGGCTGAGGAAGTTGGGGTAGAGGCCATAGGGCTTCTTCATCTCCCTGAGGACCCTGCGGATCTTCCTGACCTGCCGAGGGATGGACACCGCACTGCTTCACTCTCCTGAAGCTGACTGACCCCCAGCCCAGCGTGGAAGGGAGGCAGCTTCAGACTTAGGGGAGACCATTCCAGAGAGGCAGGAAGGAGAGGTGGCCAGAGGTGGCCACAGCTTGGACCTGTGCCCAGGGGCAGACCACGGCAGGACACGGCCATGGGGGGCCTGATCCACCACCTGTCCCCGGACTGCACAGGCCACCGCCTGTCCCTCCCCGACTTCCCCGACTGCATGCTGTAGTGAGGAAGTAGCATCCAACAACAGTCACAGGGACCAGAGGAGGTGGGGGGTGGAGACGCTGGTCAGAGGATACACATTGCACAGGAGGAATGAGTTCAAGTGCTCTGCTGTTCAATGTGGGGACTCCAGTAACAATGTGTAACAATGTGTCCTGTTTGTGTAAATTGCTAAGAGAGTAAATTTTAAACTGCCCCCCAAGTAATAATAATCAGGTGAAGTTTAAAAAGTAAAGGGCCAGGGTTGGGGCTGGGGCTCAGTGGTGGCGTGCCTGCCTCGTACTCATGAGGCCCTGGGTTTAAGCCTCAGCACTGCATAAAAATAAACAAATAAAAAGTAAAGATATTGTGTCCATCTACAACTAAAAAATATTTAAAAAAAAGAAAAGGGCCAGATATGGTGGCTCACACCTGTGATCCCAGCAATTTGGGAGGCAGAGGCAGGAGGAATCCAAGTTTGTAGCCAGCCTTGGCAACTCAGCAAGACTGTCTCAAAATTGAAACCATTCAAAAGGACTGGGGGGTTGCTAGGGTGGTGGCTCAGTGGTAGAGCCCCTGCCCAGCATGTGTGAGGCACTGGGTTCGATTCTCAGCACTGCATATAAATAAATGAATAAAATAAAAGTCCATCAACAACTTAAAAAAAAAATATATATATATATATATATGATTGGAGCTAAGGGGTGCTCAGGGTTTAATCCCTTGCCCCCACACATACACAAAAAGGGACACAGCTGGGCACAGTGGCACAGACCTGTAATGCCAGAGACTCGGGAGGGTCAAGTTCGAGGCCAGCCTGAGCAACTTAGAGAAACCCTGTCTCAGAATAAAAACTAAAAATGGCTGGGGGTGTGGCTCAGTGGTTGAGAATCGCTGGGTTTAATAAGTATTGCAAAAAAAAAAAAAAATGCTTAGCTAACAAATGAGTATATCTAATACTTAGGACTCATTTTGGGGAAAGGCCTGGACTCCTGAGTCCCCTGCACCCTAACTGGCAGTTGAGGGTTTTAACAGTGTCAAGAATAATAACAGCATCTGTTTCTCCACTCCGTTAAGACAGACAGACCCACTATGGACACCGTCTCCCGCTCAGAGCCACCTACAAGATATCATGATCTCCGTGTAATGACAAGAAACCTGAGTCTCAGAGAGGTTCGGTGACTTGCCAAAGGCCAGTGGGTCTCAGGTTGCTGAGCCAGGACACTAGTCGGTCTGTCTGACCCCACTGACTGTACGTCCTTGTGCTCCAGGGAGCAGCGGCTGAGTCCAAGATGGAAGGAGATGGTGACTACACAGCCACACCCAGCCGAGGCTGCCCCGGCTGCAGCGGGCGGGGGCTGGATCCCAGCCTTTGGGGCTGCGCAGAACAAGGGTGACAGGCGGAATTTAGGACTTTCTTCCTGGGTGGCTGCTCTCTGGCAGGGCTTTAAGTCCCACCCAGCACAAGATCCTCTGGGAAAGACCCACTGGGGCCTGCTAATAGATTAGTCCAGAGGGGGTGGAGCCACGGGAGAAGCCTTTTAGCTGCAGACGGTTCTTCACCGCGGGGGGGGGGGGGGGGGGGGGGGGGGTGGACAGCACTTGGCTTTGCCGCATCAGATTTCATGTCCATTTATGTTAATGGAGCCCATAATGGGGGACAGGAAGGTGCGATACCCGAGTTATTCTCGACTGTCCTGGGGGTGAGCAGAGAAACAGGCTAAATTAGCTCCCCTGGAGGGTATGGGCGCTTCTAGAATTTGGGCCAATTTGTTGACTGCCAAATAATTGCCTCTGTGGGAGGGTGTGACTGGGGATGAAAATAGCCAGAGTATGCAAATGTAGGGAGAAGAGACAGACAGATGGACCCTGGGAAGAGCCCACAGCCTGCTGCACTCGGCAGGTGCAGAAAGAGCCCGACGTCCCGGGCTGGTATCTCAGCTTTATTGCTCACCAGCTGGTGGCCCTGGGAGCATTACGGAGCCTCTCTGAGCCTCAGGTTCCTCCTCTGTAAAATGGGGGTAGTGGAGAGATCTCCCTCCCAGGGCTCCTGAGGGGATCAGAGGGGGCACAGCTGCTCTGCACACAGCAGGTGCTCAGGCACTGGCAGCAATCATCCCAGAGGATCCCCACCAGCGTGAGCTCCTGTCTCGGCTCCTCCCGAGCTGTCAGAGCTTCCTGGAGGAGCCTGGCTCAAGGGCCCTGGGAGCCGGGAGGCTGGTGCAAGGCCCCGAGGTGGGAAAAGGATCGGGAAGCCAGAGCCTCGGGATGGGATTGGGCGCATCCCAGGAGCGCTCAAGGGCCCTCCTGGCAGACAGGCTCAACAGGAGGAGCGCGTCTCTGACGGCAGCAGGTGGGTTAAGGGTGGTGGTGAGCGCCCGTCACGGGCAGCCATCAAGGGGCTGAGAAGCTCCCCTCCCCCGTCTCCAGGACACGCTGAGTCAGCAGTGGTCCCCAACCTGGCACCCAGGAGCGCATGGGCGTGGGTTACCATGCAGACTCCAGCGCCAGGTGATGCTCTGAGGCCAGCTGGTGATTCCACCCTGAAAGCCACCAGGGAGAAGTGCCACTCTGTCACCTCCCATCCCCTCGCCAGTCTACTAGGATGACATTCTAGAGGTTTGGGGAGTGGGGGGCCCCAAAAGGCCATCCTTGAGGACTTTGGAGGACTCTGGCAGGCAGGGCTTCCATCTCCCGGGGGGACTCAGAAGGGGTCAGAGCTGTCACAGCCTGAGTGCCACCTGAGTGTGTGTGCGTGCCCACTTTTCTTCTTTGGGTATAGGGTCAGACCTACAGGGGCACTTCCAGTGGGGACTGCAGCACTGAGGAAGGACCCCTCCTGAGGGCTCTCCAGAAGGGCCAGGTGCGGGTCACTGTCAGGACTGGTCGCTGGCCTGGATGCTACCTCTCAATACCCTGTGGCCTTGGATAGCTGAGAGCTGTGAGGAGGGACACCGTGGGCGTCGGCCGGGGACAGGAATCTCTTGCCAGCTGCTGTCAGTGAGAGCCAGCTGGGCGTCTGGGAGGGAGTGCAGAGGATCGCACTCGGAAAAGCTAAACGTCCCTGGAAAGGGGGTGGTGCGCCAGTGGCCAGCTCCTGCCGAGGCGAGGCCGAGCCCGGGTTCCCGCTGTACTTTCTGCAGATTTCACAGTTCAGAGATTTGTGCCCAAGCCGGCATGTGTCGGGGCACAGCTCCTTCCTGGCACTGGCCTCTGCTCTCTGAGGGGAGAAGAGGGGGTGCTGTCTTGGGGGGAGAGGGGCAACTTGCCTTTTCTGCGAAGATCTGGTTGCCAGAGAGCTCGGTGAGGTGCAGGAACTCGAGGTGCAGAGACCCACACTCGGCCAGGATGCTGCTGCCGCCCGTGGAGGCCCAGCCCCAGTTCCCCCTGAAAACACAGAACCAGCCACGGTCACCCCTGCGGGCCAGGCGGCACCCTGGGGTGGGGTCACCTGCAGTGTGGCCGGCACGGCGCTATGTAATCCCACTGAATCTCTCTGGCCCCGTTTTGTCGACGAGGACAATGTAGTGGGCGAGGTTAGGTGACTTGCCGAAGGTCATTTGAACCCAGGCCCGACTGACTCTAAATATCGGGTTCTATCATCAAGCAGCCCCTGTGAGACTTGGGGGCCCGAGATCTGGCACTCAGGTAGGGTAAATTTGCAGGTGACATTGACAAAGTCGTCAGGACGCGATAAGATCCCACGGAGCATTCTCCCGTCGCTGGGGGAAAACGGAGGTGCCGGGCTTGGGTCTGGAGGAGGCAGATGCAGGGCAGGGACCCCACCTGGGTCTCCCCTGTCCCCACTCTGTCTGTCCCGCTCCAGGACACACACTGGCTCTGGTGTGGAACTTCCTGGGACCTCCACGTGATGGTCAGCTCCTGGTATGGCCATGACCCTGGAGCTGTGGGGCTGGGGGAAGCCTGGGGTGGGCGTGGACGCTCCTCCGCCTGACCATGTGCTCCTCCTGAACCCCGCAGGGAAGGCGCGCTGTGGCCCTCCAGCTCGCCAAGCGGCCCCGACAGCCGGGCAGGCTCCCGAGCCGCGGTGGAGCAAGGGCTCAGTCAGTCCTCACCGCTGCCCTTCCGTGGTTGAGGAACCAGGGAGAGGGCACTATGTCACCTGCCTGAGCTCACCCCGCGAGCGCCGCAGCTGGGACCTGAAGCTCGGGTTAACCATAACCTCCTCCCTGGGGTCAGGAGCCGGGTGCAGGTCCCAGCGTGTGCTGGAAACCCGGTCAGCATGGGGCACCTCGGTCCCCACACTCCTCCACCGGGGACGGAGGATACCTCCTGCTCGGTCTCTGGGCCTGAGACTTGGTGGGGATTAGGAGAGGAGGAGGGTGCAGAAGAGGGTGGCCTTGGAGTTGGAGTCAGTGTTTTTACTGCTGTGACCCAAAGACCTGGTAAGGACCACGTGGGAGAGTAAAGGTTGATTTGGGGCTCACGGGTTCAGAGGTCTCTGTTCAAATACGGCCGGCTTCCTTTCTCTGGTCCCAAGATGAGGCAAAACATCATGGCAGAGGGTGTGGCAGAGGAAAACATCTCAGGACATGGCCGTCAGGAAGCAGAGAGAGAGCGCCACTCACCAGGACAAAATGTATCCAGAGGCACACCCCAGCCACCGGCCTCCGCCAGCCCTGCCTGCAGCTGGACCCAGGGGGTCCCTTCAGGAAGATCCACGCACTGACCAGGGCAAGGCTCCCCTGACCCCATCATGTCACCTCTATGCTCTCTGGTCTCGTCTCACACACGACCTTCTGAGGACATCTAAACTGTGACACTGGGCAAGCAGTCTCCTCTCCCAGGGCCTCAGTCCCCTGTGTCCTGTGGTTATCTACCTGTTGGACCTTCAGGATAACCAGGGGCCTGGGGACTCTTCAGGGATCCTGTGGAGGACGGGAGCTAGGAATTGGCCCCTACCTGTCCTTTTTTCCCCCAGGGACATGACTTGGGAAGGGATAGGGGTGGGGAGGTCATTGTCTGCCAACGGGGTGGGGCTGGGGCTCCCCCGGGGCGGTCCTTCTCCTCTCTAAGCCCTGGTCTTGGACCTGGGTGGTTTCTGGGGACGGCAGGGAAGCTCACAACCTCTCAGCTGCTGGGAGCAGAGGGAAGGCTTGGGTTTCGAGATCTCTGGGGTCAGGGAACCTCAACAAATGCAGAGACAACTACCCCCTGAGTCCCATTGTGGCTTCCCTGGGCATTTCCCTGACACGGGGCGGGGGTGGGGAGGAGAGGGAGGACAGAACAGGAGGGGACACTTTGTTCCAGCTTACTGAGCCCCCGTGGTGTGCTGGGCGCTGACCTGAGCCATCTGCATCATGACCCCTTTAAGACCCACAGGTGAAGCCTCATTAGTCCCCAGGAGGAAATGAAGACCCCAGCGGGAAGGGGAGGTCCATGGTCAGAGCCACGAGGTGCGGAGGTGGGGCTCACACTGTGGTCCTCAGGGACATCTACCCTCAGATGGTCTCCAAATGCCCTGGAGGGAAAGAGGGAGCTGTCCCCTCCTGTCCTCTCTGTTCCTCTTACCCCAGGCCAGGTGACATCTTGTTCTAGCTTGGAGCTCAGCAGAGGGCTTCCTGACGAGTGGGGGCTTCCTGGCCTCCCGGGGGTCCACCTGGGCCTCCCACCTTCCCTCCTGCCCCTCCTGCTGACCGGGCCACCAGGGTTCCTGTGGTGGGGTTTCCTGGTGCACAGGTAGGGCCCGGCCTGGGTGGGACGAGCAGGTGGCTGGTGACTTTCCTCTCTCCTGCCTGGCTTCAAACGTTGGTCCCCTCAGTCCCAGGTGGTGCCCTCAAGCAGGTGGGCTCCCTTCCTCGGCCTGTTTCTCCTCCCTTAAATCCTGGGCCCGTGCCTCAGAGTCATGTGAGGTATGAATCACGCACGTTCTTATTGTCCTTTTATCACCATAGGATTGTGCACATGTGGATCTTCTGTCACTTATTACCATTGTTCATAAATTCCTAATCGGGGGGGCTGGGCTGGGGCTCAGTGGCAGAGCGCTTGCCTGGCATGTGTGAGGCCCTGGGTTCGATTCTCAGCTCCGCATATAAATGAATAAAACAAAGGTCCATCAACAATTTAAAAAATTCCTGATCCAGGCCAGGTGGCTGTGATTATCTTATTGTACCTTCACATCCAACTTCAGAAACACTTAAGCTCAAAGGGGGAGACCCTTTTCTTTTTTTTTGGTACCAGGGATTGAACCCAGGGGCACTTAACCACTGAGCCACATCCGTAGCCATTTTTCGTATTCTATTTAGAGTCAGGGCCTTGCTGAGTTGCTAAGTGCCTTGCTAAGTTGCTGAGGCTGGCTTTGAACTCTCTGATCCTCCTGCCTCAGCCTCCCGAGTCGCTGGGGTGATAGGCGTGTGCCACCACGCCCGGCTGGGAGACACTTTTCTAAGGTCACACAGCAAGGAGTAGAGCAGGTGAAGCTGGATCCAAATCCAAATCTTAAGGACTTTGCGCCCTAAAGGCATGTGCTCTGGGCAGCATCCCAGAGATCAAGGTGTCCTCGGGTCAGCCCTGTGAGCCAAATGCCCAGGAGGAAGCTCTGCCCTCCTCTTCTAGCCTTGTAAGCTCAGGTATTGTGTCCCCTCCCCTGGCAAATGGGGCTACTCCACAATGCCCCCCGCCCACCCTGGCTAAAGTTCCTGCTTTAAGGGTAATCCTTAACCCCAGAGCCAGAGAAAACTGGATTTTAATTCTAACTTCATCTGACTGCTGTGTAACCTCAGGAAAATTGCCATACTTCTCTGAGCCTCAGTTTCTTTGCTGGAAAAATGGGATCCATGTGGCCGCTGAGAGATTCAGGAATCCACGTCACGTGCTGGCATCGTGCCTGACACACAGTGAATGCCCAGTAGCTATTTGCAATGATGAAGATGTGTACACGCGGGTGTGGCAGAAGAGGCCCGCACTTGCATGTGGGTGCGTGTGCCCACATGTGGACGTGGTGCCCGTGACAAAGGCTGGCTTGTGAGTCTGAGCCTTTACGATTTGTACGGTGGGGGGGGGGACAGTGGGGCTGATGTATGAGGCTCTGCGTGAAAGAGACAGTGAGAGGTGGACTCGGCCACAGAAGGCCTTGGACTGGCCACTGTCACGTCCCAGATAGTCCAGTGGTCCATGCAGGTTACTGTCATGGCCGGCTCTGCCCCGTCTCCCAGGCCTGCCTGGGCGATGGCCGTCCCCTGCCTGGAGTGCGGGGCGAGGCCTCCCTCCCTGAGCTCCCCACGAAGAGCCCCGCCCAGGGCAGGGCGGCAGTGGGGTCCAGCCCCCACCAGCAGGCCCTCTCCAAGGAGCACCAGCAGCACTGGCCACGTGCATCCCGGTCACTCTCCCGTTTTTACCCACAGACTCCTGCCCAGAAAACGAGGGAAGCCCGGGAAGGAGAGCTGCCCGGCAGCAGCCGGAAGCACCGGCGCCTCCTTGGCCAGGACCCAGGGTCCGTGTGGCCTGGGCTGTGCTGAGGGGCTGGGTCAGCGAGCAGGCCAGGGCTGGGCCCCGAGGCGGAGCACAGGTGCAGTCCAGACCCAGGCAGAGGGGGCCGGGGGACAGTGGCCGCGTCTCTCCAGGATCAGTGTTTGTGCAAGAGGAAGCCGAGCTGAGGTCCCAGCATCAGCTCTGGGGAGTCGGTCCTGGCACGGAGCCGAGCATCCATCGGCCCTGACGGTCCCTCCCTGGCCTGATGGCCCCCAGGGGTGCTCCCCCACAGAGGACAGTCGGTGAGGGCACTCAGCACGCCAAGGCCTCTCCTCTGGGCACAGCTGGAGAAGGGGTAGGACGGGGTGGGGAGCCCTGGGCTGGGGTGCGGTGGCTGAGCTCCGTGGGGACGAGCACCTGAGACCACAGCTCCCCTCGGGAGAAGGGGTGGGGCCTGGGGGACGGAGCGGCCACAGCCTCCCTCCCGTTTGGGTGTGTCGGAGTGCCTCAGGATGGACCCTCGCAGCACAGGGACAGGGCCTGGGGCCCCTGGAGAGCAGGGTTCTGTCCTGGGGAGAGCCAGGGTCCTGAGACCCCTTGGCAGCTTTGGGCACCTGCCCCAGGGAGGGGGATGAGGTGCAGCGAGGGTCTGGGCCGACCTGGAGACGGCTGGGAGAGGTCAGCTCCGGGCGGCCTGAACCTGAGCGCCAGGCTGGGTGACAGACACCTGCCTAGGAAAGTCCTTGGCTAAGGTAGATGTCACCAGGCCACGGACTCCTTTGACTTCCAAGATTGGCACTGCCCTCTCCCTGGGCCTCAGTTTCCACATCTGTGAAGAACAGATGGGACACAGGTGACGGCCAGGAACCCACTTCCCTCTGTCTGCCAACTGCCCCGAGGCCGCCTCACCAGACTGCCCCCCAGACAAGGCTCAGACAGTGGGCGAGCTGCCGCGGCACCTGAGGCCCAGCGTGGGCAAGGACAGGGCGTCCTACCTTTTGAAGTTCACGACGCTCTTGGGGATCCCCGTGGGCGTGTTGAAGGCCGGCAGCAGCTTCTCCCCGAGCTGGATGGCCTTGCTGCGGAACACCTGGGCGACAGGACCACGGGCATCACATCAGGAGGGCGGGCGGTCACTCCAGGAGGCCACTGCTGCAGGGTGCGCCTTCCCCGGGCTGCGGGCCCAGATGGGGAGGTGACGCTCCTGGACTCTGCAGGCAGCCAGCCCAGGTGGCAGCCTGGACCCGCAAAGGACCGGCCCCGTGGGGGTGTGGGGTGAGAGGAAAGTTAACCATTGGACAGCGTTCGCCACAGGGTCCGGGCTGGGAGGAAGGACTGTCCCTCTGATTAGAGGTAGTGGGAAGATGGAAGGAAAGCAGTCGGCTGCTCCCTGTCCACACAACGACCCGGCAGGTGGGGCGGTCACCAATGGTCAGTGCCGCCCACTCTGTGGACACAGTGTCACAGCGGGGGATGGCAGTGTGACCTGCGTCTGCTCACTGTTCCCATTAGACACAGGGATGGAGGGCGCGGGACCCCTGTCCCCACCACCCACGTGCAGGAAGCTCCTAGGCTTTAGGTCCTGCCGGAGGCGCCAAACTGTCCCTCTGAAAGTCCAGGGTGACTCAAAAGGCCCGTGACCTTCTGCCGCGGCAGTTTCTCTCCCAGCAATTTATTCTACAGGAATAAATAATCAAGAGCGTTGCAAAGATTTAACTTTACGACTATTTACTCTGGCACTGTTTAGAATAGCTCGGGGACAGGAACACCCAGGTCTGGGCAGGTGGTTGAATTATGGCTTTCACGTCATGGAGCGCCACGCAGCCACCGAGACGATGCTGTCCGAGGACACATGGCAAAGAAAGGGTTTTTAACATGCTTAGAGGAAAGCAGTGTATTTCAACTTCAAAAAATCATTCATATGTGGATGTATGAAAAAAAGGAAGAAAATACACCAAAATATAAATAACATTCTTCTCAGAGGGGTGAACTTATGGACAAGCTTTAGATTCTTCTTTTGGTTTATCTATTTTCTGTGAAATTAAAAAAATATTGATTTTCTTTGAGACGGGGAGTCTCACGATTGCCCAGACTGGCCTCTAACTTACGGGCTCAAGCCATCCTCCTGCCTCAGCCTCCAGAGCAGCTGGGACTACAGGTGTGCACCATACTATGCCTGGCTTGTGCAATCTTTACTAAAAAAAGAAGCCTCCATATCTGCAGTTGTGTGTTCATGGAATCCACAAACTGCAGGTGAAAAATATTAAAAACATATGCATCTGTATGGAACACGTACAGACTTTTGTCCCTCGTCATCATTCCCTACATGTCACAGTGGACACAGCATTTACATTGTATTAAGTGTTACAAGGAATGAGGGTGGTCGTGGGTTCACTCATACACCACGTCATTTTCTATCAGGGCTTGAGCATCCATGGAATTAGGCACCTGCGGGGGTTCAGGCCCAATGTCCTCAGACTCGGAGGGAAGACAGTTTTTAATGTCACTTATTTTGGACAGATGAGACTCAAGACCCTAAACAATAGCTCCTGGTGTCTTGTCACCTTGGAGCTGGGACAGCCCAGTTTGCTGACCTCCTATGGTTTTAAAACAAACCCTTGTCAAGTCCTCCCTGTGACCAAAAACTCACAGGCCACGCTGGTGCACGCCTGCAATCCCAGTGGCTCAGGAGGCTGAGGCAGGAGGATCATGAGTTCAAGGCCAGCCTCAGCAACTTGTCGAGGCCCTAAGTGACTTAAAATAAAAAGTAAAAAGGTCCGGGGATGTGGCTCGGTGGTTGAGCACCTCTGGGTGCACTGGGAAGTGGGGAGGGATCTCCCAACGCTCTGGGTACGGGTTTGAGGCCTCCAAGGGTGGGGCAGTCCTCACTCTGAGGAGGAGGGAAGGGCTGCGTGGGGCTGGCAGCCACGGACCAGAGAAGATAATACTGTCCAGCACCCGACGATGGGGCCCCCAAGTGGGCCCTGGGACCAGCCACATCCGAGTGCAGGGGCTCGTGGCTCCACAGAACCGCGGGGCCTGCCCTCGGGGGCCTCTAGTCTTGGCCCGGCTGAAGCCACGGTGCAGTGCTCCGAAGGCCCTGGGTCTCCGGGAGGCTCCTCATCTCTTGGTTTGACCCCAGGGGCTGCAGCAGTGAGCAAAGGAGCCCCCAGAGCTCCAGCAGATGTGAGGACACGGCAGCTGTCGGACCGTCTTGGTCCCGAGGACGCCAAGCTCGCCAGTGAACCACGTCCCCTCCTTTGAGAGGCCCCAGAAGCCTCGCTGCTGGCAGGGCGGGGGGCTTCGTGAGTGAGGACAGGAGTGAGCCCCTGGGGACAGAAGGCGGGTCCCCCACCCCGGCCATCTTGGAAGGAGTGAGACGCGCTGGTGTCCTGTCCACACACCGTCAGTCCTTGCCGTGACTTGGGAAGGTGCTGACCCACTTTGAGGATGGGACAACTGAGTCTCAGAACCGACGTTCCCAAAGCTGCAGAGCTAAGTGGCTCACTCCAGGACAGGGGTGGGAGAGGCCAGCATGGGTACACCCTGTCCAGTGGGAAGGGCACCGGGGGGCCCTGAGGGCTCTTTCCAGTGGCCACTCAGCAGCTGTGTGACCCTGTCCTGTCTCTGAGCCTTGGTTTCCCCGTCTGCCCCCACGGTGGGGGCCGGCACCCTGGCTGCCTCCCAAGGCTTTCTGGCAATCAGCTGGGGCTGTCCGGGACTGAGCGTGCCCCCATCACTGGGCACTGCCCGGTCACGCTGCCTTCTCAGAACGCCTGGTCTCGGCAAGACTGGTCAGGGCCACACAGGGGTCTCCAGCGGCTTCCTCTGAAGGCAGCCTCAGCCTAGGAGGAGTCTTGGGGGCCTCAACACCGATTCCACAAATACTCATGGGAAACATCAAAGAACGGAGAGACCACGTCGGGCTGAGAGAGGACGGAGGGAGGCCCAGGCAGGCGTGGCTGAGCCCTGGTGACAACTAGTGACAGGAGAACCACGGGGTCAGGAGTCAGGCCCAGCACCCCCTTCAGTGGCTCAGGGACGTGAGTCTTAGTTTCCACATCTGCAAGTCACTGATAACCCTTATCAGCCACCTATGCCACGAGGCCACCAGCCTGACCCACGGACCCCCAAACCAGCCCCATGAGCCCCAAGCAGCTGCCATCCCACCCTCCCTTGCATCCCCTCTCCCCACCACAGCCAGCCAGGGAGACGGCAAAGACCCGTGAAGCATGAGTGCCTGTTTCCTGCTCCTTCTGTCATTTTCCTGTCCTGAGGTTTTCAAATAAAATTCAGTCTTCGGGTGGCTCAAAGCCGAGGGCTCTGTCTACAATTTTTTTTTTGACAAATTGGTACAAGCAGTAATCTCTGCTGAGGGGATTAGGCTTGACAGAGAGAGGCCCGAAGCAACTGGGGAGATAAAGCTCTGTCGCCTCTAAACTCCCGACTGTGGCCCTGCCCTGCAGCAGGTGAAGGGGGGCGAAGCGACTGCAGACAGCAGCGTGGGGGGGGTCTTGCTGTGGCTGCCTGGCCCACCTCCAGCTCCCCCGGCCCACGTCCCTGGGTGCAGGGGAGGGGGCAGGAGAGGGAGCTGAGCACCCGGCCCCAGCGCAGGGACCTGCTGGGCCACAGGGAACACCCACACAGTGACCCAAGTTCTGGGGACAGTGCCCACCTCACCGCCTGACACCAGGGCTGTGCAGGAGCTCAGGAGGAGGAGGAGGAAGCCCCCTTTCTCTACAGGATCCAGGAGAATCAGGCTCTGGCGCTGTTGGCCGGGACAAGCCCTCCCCCAGCCCAGAGAGGGGATCACGAGCGTCCCACTTTGGGCTGGTGATAAGGGAAGGGACTTGTGCAGGCCACAGCAGGGAGCGTGGGGTGGGAGGAGGTCCTGGTCTCCCTGTGGGGCTCTGCCTTCAGGTGGGGGCGTCTGGCTGGCCGTGGAGTGTGACCGAGCCAGGGTCCCCGCGGTGGAAACGTGACAACCCTGCTCTCGGCTTTCTGGGTCCTGAGAACCAGCCTCATGCAGACACCAGCAGCTGCCTGCGAGGGGAGCCGCGAGGACTCGGAGCATCCGCTACCGACTGGGGGCCCGTGGGGCCCTGGGCGGCAGAGAGCGGGAGGAGGCTTCAGGGGAACCCGTCCTCTCGGGGCTCACGGTGGCCCCTGGGCAGATCTCTGCCCCCTTGAAACCGTTTTTCCCATTGGGGAGAGGAAGGGCTAGGACAGGGTGCTCGCTAGAGCCCTGTCCAGCGGGGATGGTCCCGGGGACTGGGAGGCCCACTCACCTCTTCCCCTGTCAGGTAGAAGGCCGAGAGCAGCCCTCCGATGTAGCGGATGTTCACCTCGAACAAGGACGCTTCCCCGGTCTGCAGGACACAAGGCAGGACACAGTGAGCAGGGATCCCGAGGCCTCACTGAAGCCCCCACTGCACCCCCAACCTGGGCCTGGCTCCAGGGCACCCCCAGGGGGCCAGGCCAGGCCCAGGTTTCATAGCAAAAGTCGGTGGGGCTTAGCACCTGCCTGGGTTTGCTACTGAACCTTTAACAGCATTCCAAATAAACACTGGGCTTGGCTTCTGTCCCCAACCCTTGCCAGAGGCCACCAAAGTTACGCCTGGCTGTGCTCCACGGAGCTGGAGGAAGCTCAGCCCAAGGGGAGGCAAATCCTCTTCTAGTCGGGGCCTCTCCTCCCTTCTCTGGAGGCAGACCCTGGGGTAGCGGGAGAAGGGACAGGGCCTTCCCGGGTGACCGGCAGGGCCAGGGCTGAGTGGGAGGTGCCAGGCAGAGGCGTGGCCTGCAATTTCTCAGACCTCCGCTCCTGAGAGCGCGGGACACACCCACAGCTGTCTCCATCACGTTGGGACTGCAAATCAGGGGTTTGGAGACTCCACGCCAAGGACCAGGTCTGGGTTAACATCCCACACGACCCCCTAACACGGCGGCGAGACAATCCCCCTTCCCTGCCCCGGTCTCCTCATCTGCAAAACAGGCTGTGGCGCCTCCCAGAGAGGGTGGCTGGGAGACTCGGTGCTGCGGGCAAGTGTGCCCAGAGCAGGGCATGGCCTTCAGAGCGGAGCCTGTGGCCACCTTCCTTGACCCCAGGGCTCTGGGAGGCAGCTGTCTGCACCACAGTTTATCACCGGTGGCCACGAGCGCGGGCAAAGCCAGCTCTCTTCAGCCTCAGTGTTTGTGAGGTCAGATGAGCAAGCCACCGTTCAAAGAGGTGACCCTGCCTGGCTTTCTTCTGGGATACTCCCAGGCTGCCTGGGTGTGCCCAGGACCCTCGGCTCCCTGGGCAGCTTTCCAGATGTCCCTACGTCACTCCAGTCCACAGAGGGGGGAGCAGGGGAACGGGAGCATGTGCTCAGGCCACCTCCAGATGTCCCCACCCAGCCTGTGCTAGCGAGCTGGCCCCTCCCGAGGCAGAGCCGCACACTGTTGGGCTGAGGCGCGTAGGGCTGTGAGTCCTGCTCCCCTTCCATCTGCCTCTCACTCCCCAGGTTCTGGCACGTGGCCCCGCCGCGGTGAGCGGAGACCCCTGGGACACGGCCGGGAGATCTACGGGCCAGGCCTGGCCTTCAGGGCTCTCGTGCCGTCTGGACCCAGTGCCATCCTCTCCAGGAGGCTTTTGGCCTTGACCAGGGGAGCCCGTGAGAATGGGAACCACGAGGGACCTGGGCCTGGCCGTGGCCCTCTGACTGGCTGCCCCGCCACACCCATCCAGAGAGCTGGCCACGTGCCCCCCATAAAGCCACGTCTGCCTTGCTGCCCTGAGTGACGGATTCAGCCCTGGAACAGCCTGGGTAGAAGCAACACTCCCCAGAGGAGTAAGAGCCCATCTCATGGGGAGGAGGGGGATGGCCATAGCATCTTACCTCCCAGGAAAGGATGCCAGACCAGGGAGATGTCCCCACCTCAAGGCTGGACTCAGCATGGAGTCCTCTACAGTCCTGACTCTGGGACTGTTCTGCTGTGCAGCCTTGGGCAAGGCCCTTGACATCTCTGGGTCAGAGACTCAGGGTGGAACTGGTCGCTGATGGGCAGGACCCCTTTGGCCTGAATACCGAGGGCCTCGACTCACCACGTTCAGGTGGAAGTAGTTTTCCACCCAGGCCTTGGCCTCCTGGAACTCCTCCTTCAACTCCATGAGGTAGAGGGTGTCGAGGGAGTCGATGATGGTCGCCCCGTTGAGGCCGCCTGCGGGCAGAATCGAAGATGTGAACTGGGTCGCTCTCGTCCTTTCCACCCCCAACTAGACAAGCCACGGTCCCAGCGCTCCTTCATGCCCGGGCAGACTCCAAGGCATGACCCAGGGGGATCTCCAGTGTCCCCAGCAAAGGCGAGGCTGGGACCCAGTGTCTCCCTGTGAGCTGCTTCCTGGTGGGGCCTGCAGAGGCGGGGGTGGGAGACCAGGTGCCAGGCCGAGCCAGACCTCGGTCCACTCCTCTGTGGGTCAGCAAGTCACCTCAGGGCCGGTCGGGCACAGCTCTGCTCCGCTGAGCGTGGCAGACACAGACCGTGACAAGCGTGTCTGTCCCGGGACCTCATCCCCCTGCCTGCTTAGTCCTGAAGGAAGGAGGATGGTGCAGACGCTAATGGGGTGCTGCAGGACTGCATGTGGGGGGCTCCAGGTCCTGCAGCGGAGGGAGGGGTCACAAATGGTAACTTGAACCTACAGCGGGACACCAGGCAGCCACCCGCTCAGTGAAGTGGACTGTTTATTTCCTGGGAGAGAAGCCCTGGCATCTCTTAGGTAAGAAAGAAAGAAGAGCCGCAGTGTGATCTCTTTATTGTAAACCAAAGTGTCAAGTGTGTGTGCACCACGTGGCCAGGCAGGGTGTGCCCCGGGGAATACCTGAATATCCGAGCGCTGGGCTTGCGGGTGTTTATTTCTTTAGTTTGTGGCTTATTTGTGATTACTGTTGTTGTTGTTGGTGGTGGTGGTACCAGGGACTGGACCCAAAGGTGCTCAACCACTGAGCCGCATCCCCAGCCCTTTTTCACTTTTTTATTTGGACACAGAGTCTCACTAGGTTGCTTACAGCCTCGCTGAATTACTGAGGCTGGATTTGAACCTGTGATCCTCTTGCCTCAGCCTCCCGAGCCACTGGGATTAGAGGCGTGCGCCCTGTGCCTGGCCTCGCAGGTTATTTTTAAAGGCATAAACTCATTTCTATTTTTTTAAGAAACGAAGTTGGGCAAAGACTTCAATCAAAGGCATAAAACAAAGACCTCATGGTCACTCTCGCCGTAGGACAGCGACTACACAAGGAGGCTACGCAGCTGTCCCCGCCGCTGGGTGAGACTCTCCTGGCAGTAAAGGTTGAGATAACTGTGAAGGAGTTTTCCTTTTGTGAAGGAGGCAGGAGAACAAGGAGGGGGACCTGCCACACCCAGAGGCCTTCGGAGTGGAGGAGGCGGGGAGGGAGGAAGCCGGCCTGGTGCCCTCTGGGGGCTCCTAGAAGAGGTGGCTGCCTCGCATTCACAGCTGACAGCCGAGTCACTGCAGGCGGTAGAAATTTCCTTTGGGGACCAGAGTACAGTTGTCCCCTGGTTTCCTTGTGGGGACTGACTCCAGAACTCCCCTTGGATATCAAAATCTGCGAATGCTCAGGCCCCTGATGTAAAATGGCGTAATAGATACAATGTGCGATATTTGCATATGACCTGACCTGCCCACCTCCCGCACACGGAGATCACCTCTAGGTATCGTGCAAACGGGACGTAAATGCGTTGTACCGCATTGTTTAGGGGAGAAAAATCAGTCCGTTCAGGACAGATGTTGGTTTTTTCCCACACAGTTTCACCTGCAGTTGGTTGAATCCATGGATACATGACCTGGGGACACAGGGGCCTAAGAGCAGTAACTGTCCCCACAGTGACCTCCTTGCAGAGGTCGAAAGCACTGAGTCACAGGCTCTGCCCTCCTGGAACTGCAGAGCCGACGGCCCGCTGGACTCTGGGCAGGCTCTGGGTGTCTCTGGGTTCAGCTGGCACCTGGCTCCCTCCCGGGCGCCTCCCTAACTGCCCACCTGTGTGGGCTTTGCAGCAGGGAATCCTGAAACCCAGCCGCGGCCAGGCAAGCGCTGACCATGGGCACGGCCTGGAAGGGACCCCGAGAGAGGAGGCTGGGAGGAAGAGGAGGTCGAGGGTGAGAGAATGCATCCCCGGAAGGGGGGCTGGCCCTGGCAGGAGGGGACCCCGGGAGGGTGGGTGACGGGGGCGCAGTCATGGCTCTCCTCTTAGCTGGCTTAGGTATGAGGTTGAGGTGAACTTCTAGAAGGTCAGCCGCCCCCACCTCCAGGATTGGCAGGAAACACCCCAAAGCCAGACAGGGGCGCCTTTCCTGGTTTGTCCCTGCCGCCTCTCCCACAAGTGTCAGGGACCCACGAGGTCCTGGGAAGGACTACCCTCTGGAGGGGCTCAGGACAGGGAGCTGAGGGACAAAGCAAGGCTGCAGCAAGCCCCTGGCCCCAGCCTGCCACGCCCCAGCTGTATAGCAAGGGTCTCCTGCTACCCCGCAGGGCTGCGGACCTGAGGGTTTAAGGGCCTGGAGGGACTTTGAGCTCCTGCTATGTCACCCCTTCATCTTACAGCTGAGGCCCCCAGGGAGGGAAGGGGATGCATCCAAAATTAGGCTGAAGGAGGCCCGGCCCAGGCCCAGCCAGTGCAGGCTCCCTGCCGCACACGTTCCCCGCCGCACACGAGGCCTGGAGGGCACTCAGGGCGCCCGCCGCCCGCCTCGCCAGTCAGCTCCAGTGGGGCCAGAAGTCTCCGCGGTGGTTCTTCGAGGGGCGGCCGAGGATCTGATTTCTGAATCCTGCCCTGGCTGATTGTGTTTTGATTCCACAGGGCTTCTGTTCCCCGGGCCAGGCCTGGAGGGCAGCCAGGGCTCCTCGTGACCAGCTCTGCCCTGTGACATCTCCGGGGACACTTGAGGTGGCCGGCTGAGAAGTGGCTTGCTGAGGTTTGTTGGCAAGGTCCTGCCCCTGCTCTGGGCACCTGGATCATTTTTGTGGTTGGTCTCCCCCCGCATCCTACCCCAGCACATAGCTGGGCTCGTGTCCAGAAAGCCACTTACTGGGGAGCCTTTCATCTCAGGCCAGAGGTTGCCCCGAGGCCAGGCTAGGCAGGAGAGAAGGCCCTGCCCCGATTCCACCCTATCTGCTGCCTGGGGCAGCTCCCAGTCAGGGTGAGAGACAGGTCCTTTAGTCAGCAGGCCCCTGGCTCGTGGGCAAAGGACCAACACAGACCACACAGCAGCCGGGAGCCTTCGCTGGGGCTGGAGGGCCACTCTCCCAGCCCCAGTTTGGAACCTCATGGATCACAAAGGACAACTTGGCTCCCCTCCTGCCGGGCAGGAGGCAGAGGCGTGTATTAGGACACGGCCCAGGATCGGACAGCTCTGGGTTCCGTCCCAGCACGGGCCAGCAGCACGTCTGCTTTAAGAACTGAAATCCCCACCTGTAAAATGAGGTGAGGACACCAGAGAGCCACCGCGGGTGGCCCAGGACACGCACACGTCACGTGCATACCTGCCACACACACAGCCGATGAGTGCGTTGGAACCTGTTCAGCAGCCTGAGCGCTTGATACGTCTGCTCACTGTTCTTATTTCTGGGGTCCCTGGCTCACCTGGAAACCAAGGCCGGACCAGGAGTGGGGAAGGGCAAGGGCGTGTGGGAGGCCCCCCTGGCCCAGGGAAAAGGCGGGCTGCTGCCCTAACCGCTGGGCATGAGAGAGCCTCTCCAGGCCGCCTCGCACCACGGGGACAGGCTGGCCTCAGTGTCAGGGGGACACGAGTTCCCATTCTGGTGTCCCATACCGATCGGCTGGAGACACTTTACCTCCGAGCCTGGTTTCCCTCATCTGCAAGATGGGTGACAGCAGGACCCAGTTCTCAGGGCTGCTGGGCGGGTCGCATGGGGCTGTGGATGGAAGGTCCACTGCTGGGAATCCGTGAACTAAGCAGGATGGACAGAAGTGTGGGCCTCCTGGCCCCTGGCAGCCCCTCCAGTCTTCAGGGGTCCCCCTTGTGCCTGCTTCGGAGGGCATCACTGCCCGTGAGCTGGGTGTGCACCTGCCTCTTTAAAAGGTCCTCCCACCTCCCGGACTCCAGTCTTTGGCCTCTGACCTGTCCTCCTGAGACCCTGCCTCTCCTGGCTCCAGAACCTGCTGTGGCTCTCCTGCACCCTGTGGTTGGCCCGCCCACTCCACCCTCAGGGTCCCCTGTGTCTCCTGCATCTCAGCAGGTTCAGACCTGCACATTCCCCAGGGCCCACCTCCCAGGGCCAGGCTTCCTGGTCCTAACCTCCTGCCCACAGCGTCTGCGGTGCCCTCCTGGGGCTCTGGCTCAGGCGCCCTCCCCTCCTGCGTGCTCCGTGGGCTCTGCGCCCCTCTAACTAGGCTCTGAGCTCAGGGGACTCAAGGCTCCTGCTGACTCTCTCGCCCCTTCCTGCCAACCCTGCAGTTGTGTCTTCAAGCAGCCCCAAGGGCCACAGTCCCCAACCCAACAGGCCACGTGCCACTCCCACGGCCTCTTCTACCCACTCTGGTAGGAGCTGCCTCCCGGGTCCCCCCAGAGCTGGCTGCCGGCAGGCCCTTCCCATCTCCGTCCTGGGGCTCAAATCCCAGCTCCCCCTCCAGAGAAGCCGTCCAGCCCCTGCCCCCGCCCCTGCGCACCCCCACCTTCAGCACAGGAGCCCCGTCCCCAGCTCGCTCTGAAGGCCACCGCTCCTCTACCTGTGCCTCCCATCGGCTGGCCTCTAGTCTGCCCCAGAGTCCCGCCCGCCCGCCCGGGAGGCAGCTGTGGAAGGCGGAGGGCAGGAGCCAGGCGGCCGGCTGTGCCTGGGGCTGGCTACGGGCCCGGCCTCGGGCTCAGCCTCGGGCTCAGCCTCAGGCCGTCCTCCGGCTCCTCCTCCAGACTGTGGTGCTCCTTCCCAGCCCTCGGCGCTTCCCTGGGCTCTGTCTGTGGCCTCTGCTCTGCCTCCCCTCTTCCCTTCGTGGTCCCCCCGCCCCGTGCTGATGACAGTGCCCAGGTTTAAGTCCCCAGTAGTGCCCATGCCTGGTGCCCGGGCTCACACCCACCTCCCCACCCACATTTCCACCCGAAGGTCCTCGGGCATCTGACGTCACTGTCGCCTCAGTCTTCCCACCGGGGTTGGTGCCCACCGTGGTGCCCACCGTGGTCCCAGAGC